ATACCACATGGATCTTGAAGATATTTTAGCATACCTCGAAAGTGTAGGTGTAATTTACCTTTTTTTTTTTATCATTAACAAGAGAATCTGCAGTGATTCGAAGTGTACTAGTAAACTAAACTCTCGTGCAATATCTACTAAATTGTAAATGAGATATAAATTATATTAGACTAGCCATACGGGATTAAGTCGATTTAAAAAGTGCCGACTAGTGTGTTCAAATTCGAGTTAAATATCACTAGGCTACTTTGATGAGGATAGTAAAAATATATAATTAACTAGTGTAGGGGTCAAAAGTAAATGATGAGGATAATAAATATATATATAATTAGTGTAGGGGTCAAAAGTAATTGATGAAGATAATGAAAAGCCACAATACTCTCATTAATTATTGCAAACATACTAAGTAGGTGACAAATAACATATACAATTAGTGTAGGGGTCCAACCGTAAATATGATATTAGTGGGTTGGTGGAATTTATTTTACATCTTCCACCAACCACTATAATACTAATCTATAATATCTATACTAAAATAATAAAATAAAAAACTAATCAAATCTTGCTGACGTAAGCATGATGCTTGATGAGATCACTCCTTGAAAACTATCTATATACTTCTTCAAAATTAAATAAAAAAAAAGTGGGATTTTAAGAAATTTGCTTCCCCTAGTGGCGGTGGCGCGGCGGCGGCAGCGGTGGTGGTGGTGGTGGTGGTCTCAATCTATACATTCAAAAAGATGATTGTGATTTTGAAAAGGTCAAAAGTTTTCTTTGTGGAATTCAAATTTGGTATTTGTTTTGTGGGAAAAATCAGATGCCAGCTGTCTTAGCTCCTTTACTGGTGGTGGGGCCCCACAATAAAATACTCCTGCAATATCACCAAATAATTGTGGTCCAAAAATTAATCTTTTATATATCACAAAAATAAAATTACTTCATAATTTATAAATTTATATATGTGTATGAGAAATTAAATTCCATCAAGTATAAATGTATGAGAATTAAGTGGCAAAAGGGAAATTAAAAAAAGTTGCGGATTCGAAATTCGTAGAAAAGACTTACCGACTCTCGAGTTAGGATGATTGAGCGCGATGCGTTTGTACACGGTACGCCAATTGGGCTTCGCAAAGTGCGACTTAACCCTAGTTCCCGACACGACATCGACTCCATTCTTGGCATGGTTAAGCGATTGAAGCATAGTGATTAGAGCCGAACGAGCGTCTCCCTCTTCGTAAACGCTCGTGCAATAGTTGTGCATTTCGATGACTCCCTTGTAATCCATTTCCGCAACCTCGTTCATCACGCCCTTGAACCAATCGAACGAGCCTTGTTCCCTCGTCACCCAATAGAAGTATGCCCTACTCGTCTTGAAGTTGTTGTGCCTACCGCTCTGTCCAACGGGCTTTTTCTTGGGCATTGGTGTTAAAGGGCTTGCGTTCGAGGGTAGGGAGGTAATTTCACCGTTTTCGAGTGAGTTCTCTTCTTCGTCGATTGCTTTCATGTTGTTTACGATGTCCTTAACGACGCTTATCATAGGTGTGGCTCCGATTCCGAGCCCTACTAATAGGACCACGTCGTAGTCTTTGTAGTCTTGCGTGGGTGCTCCGTATGGACCGTCGATTAAGACTTTCGGGAAGCTGTTTTTTTTAATCATTAATTAGTACACGTAAAGTCGTAAACATCATTATTAGATATGATTAAGACAATTAAAATCATATAGGAAAAGAATTAGTTTTGAAAATGGATATTTTCGGATTAAAATACGTCGGAATTAGGGAATTTTGTTTCGAGTTCCACCCATGAATTATAAAATACCCAATAATATAATTTTTCGAAAAGTACATTATGAAGCAATATATAATTTTGATTTGATCCCAAAAAAAAAGTTAGATAAAAAAAAAAATCATAATTTTGAAATCAAAGTCAAAAATCTCAGATCGAAATCGGTAGAATACGAAAATTCCAATCCGACTTTCGCCCCTAGTGATTATTGTCAAAGACTTCAAATACAAAATGATTTTGGTCACATGACTTTTCAAAAATAGTGTTCTTGTCATTTTCTTGCAACTTGCATTGGAGCACTAAGCCACTATATCACTTCAATTATGGATCTATGGATGTGAATTATCTTTAAATAATTCAACTTTTTTTTTTCTTTTAATTAAATAATTTCTTCCCTTTATACCTTTGTTTTCAAGAAAGTGATCAAATGTCATATCCTAGTACAAGCACATGATTAAATTTGAAAATAATTGATTTAAAAAGGTGAAAATATTAAATCATTACTTACTTGGGATTATTTTCTCCTTGCAAAAAATCTGCTCGAAGGAGCCCGCTCTTGCCGGTAGGTGGTGGCTGACAGACCTAAAAAAGTAATAAAGCAAAAAATTAGTAAAAATCGCACATGTAACGAAAACTACGAATTCGAACAACTTTTTATTTCCTCAAATTATTGCAGTAATAATTGAGCATATACTTCCAAGAACATATTGTCTGATATTCTCACATGGTATAATAAAAAAAAATTAAAAAAAAAAAAAAAAAAAAAAAATGAATTTGATATAATAATTGGTGAAGAAATTAAATAAATACCTCCGAGAAAACAGATTTAAGTTGTCTGGTCCAATCACCAAGAGTTCTAATGTGCACACTGACATAATCATCCATAGGTGCTGAAGTAATGGAAAATGGATGCCTGTTACTACAAATGGACCATTGCAATAATAATATCTGGTCCACTAGTGCGACAAAACTGGGTC